GAGACCATGAAGATGAGGAAGGTGAAGTCGGCAACGGCCAGGTTGAGGATGTAGACGGTGATGGGGTTCCTGCGGATGCGGAATCCAAGGAGCCAGAGGACAGCCCCGTTCCCGAGCAGCCCACAGAGGCAGATGAGCTGCGTGACACCATCTATGGCCACACCAGTGACATCGATCTCACAGGAATCATCTCCTTCGGTGTCCATCACGGGAGATGAGGGAGGTGGGGATGTCTGGTTCAGCTCCATGGTGGAAGGTGGGATGTGGTCCCCAGCTGTGGTCAGAGCAGAGGGGGGTTAGTGGAACCCCAGGATATCCCAGGACCGAGGGAGGGGTCCTGGTGGGGTGGTTACAACAGGGCTGGGGACAGGGGGTCCATGGAATGGTTTGGGGGGTGAGGATGGAGGGAGGCTTGGATCAATCCAGTCATCTCGATAGAGGACAACCACGGGAGCAGTGAGAGGGGATTTGGGGACATCCAGGGAGACGCAAGCAGTACCCAGGGCTGGAATCTGGTCCCAGCCTCCTACCTTTCCTTGGGGCCAACCTGTTGCTTTGTCCGAGCTCCTTCCCTCCAGTCCTCTTCACCACAATCTTCTCCAGTGAGGAAAATTGGGGTCTCCACCTCCTCAGAAGCTCCGAGCCGCCTATTTGTCCCCAAATAAAGCTGCTTCTTGGGGCGTTTCTGCACAATCACGAGTCAGGCACTGAGAGCACTGGGCAGTTGCACACAGGCTGCCTCTTCTCCCGTCAAAATTCTGTTGGTCTTGCGGGAAAGGAAATGTTTTGCCCGAGCAAATACCCCAGAGGATGAACACTGCAGCATTTACATCTTTCTGTGAAAGAATCTTGATGCTTTTAGGATCCAACCTGAGATCTCATTAGACTGGTAATTGCCACCTTCGTAATTGTTTGATGGTGCTCAAGACTCCTCTCCCCATCCTACCCCGATGCTGGCATCCTTCTGAGATTGTTCATTACTGCGTGCATTTGCCTCCCAGCCTCCCAGCATGAGGATCCTTCTCCGACTCCATCCTGAATGAGGCCGAGGTGAGAATATGGAATTTGTTGTCTGAGCCATCGCTTTGGATTCACTCCAACCGGTCTGGGGGGGTTCCAGAGCCCTCCTGGACTGGCTGGTAGCCACTGAGAGAGCCTGGAGAGACTGGTGGCAGGTGAGGGGAAAGCAAACACAACCCCACATTCCTCCCTGCAACCCTGCACCAGAAGCATCCATTCACCCCAACCAAAGTTTTAGGGTGGCAGAAGAAGCCAGTGACTGGAGTGGACAGGCTCTTGGGGACATCGAGAAAGGAGCATGGGGGACATCAATGATAGAATGGCGTGTCCCCGAGCAAAGCAGGGTGTCACAGCATGTCCCACCTGTGTTGGAATCACTGAAACTGGAATTGCTGAGCTGGGCACTGGAGACAGAGACTCTTGGCAGGGCAGGGCTCAGCATGGCACAGCAGGGGTGTGACAGCAGGGGTGGCAGTGACAGCGGGGCCGGGGCAGTGAGTCACCCCCTCCGTGCCTCCCTCCACCCCTGGACTTTGCCTCCCGCGGATGCTCACGGCAATAAATCCCGGTCTCGGAGGCGGGAATGGGGCGTCGGGGAGGACACAGGGGTCCCATCCCAGGGGTGTGGGGGCTGAGCTGTGCAGGGGCATCTGCACGGAGAGTGCACGAGTGGGATCGGGATGGGGAGTGGCATCAGGAGCGGGATGGGGATGAGAGTGTGCCAGAGGCAGCGGGCAGGAGTGCGAGCGAGCGTCACACAGGCAGGCAGGACATGCAGGTGGCAGTGTGACGCTTGTGCGCCGCGAGGACCAGCCGGGAGAAGGTCACCTGCGCGCCAGGACACCTGTACGTGTGTCGCGGCCGCTGTCACCACCGCGGCCCCAGCCCGGCGGCGGGCGGGCCCGGCGGGCGGGTGACAGCCGCACCCTGGACCGGGCGGGTGCTTCCCGCCCCCTGTCCCCATCCCTGTCTCCGCCGAGGCCACACGGGATCCGTGGCCTCACCGGACACCCCCATGCAGCAGGAGCGGGGCGGGCAGAGCCCAGGAGCCCCCGAAACCGAGGTCAAGGCTGTCATCGTAGGGGATGGCGGCTGTGGGAAGACGTCACTGCTGGTGGCCTTCGCCAAAGGGGACTTCCCCAAGGTACCAGGGTCCCTGTGATCTGCTGGGTGGGTGACTGTCCCCGTACCGGAGCGGTGACGGGCAAAGGGCGGCGATGGGACGGACACGGTGGCAGCAGAGGGACCGTTTGAAGCGGGACGGGGGGGACATGGGGACATGGGGACATGGGGACATAGGGACATGGGGACATGGGGACAGGAGACGGCCCAGCTTGGGGCTGGTGAGAGTCTGTGACACCTCTGCCTCTCTTGGCGGGCCACAGGGCGGGGAGCAGGGTTTGCCCCGCAGTGAGGGCACTCAGACAGTGCAGGGAAGGAGGGCAGCCAACGACACCCGTGTCCTGAATTCCGCTGGGTCATCCATGACGCTGTTGTGGCCTGGATGGGGGACAAGGGTGGTTCCCATCCCACTGCCCCAGGGAGGAAGCACCATTTCCTACTCCTTGCTTCCCTCGCTGTGCCCCGATCTGTCCCCATTGGGGTGACCTCCATCGCTGCCCCCCACAGCTGCCTGTGTCACCTGTATCACGCTCTCCCTGTCCCCTGCCAGGTCTACGTCCCCACCGTGTTCGAGAAGTACACAGCGTCCCTCCAGGTTGCCGGCAAGCCCGTGACGATCCACCTGTGGGACACAGCAGGTGGGACAGGAGGGGACACGGCTGGCAGTTGTGCCCCCCACTCTCCCACCCGGGCGTTTCGGGGTGTCCCACACACCTGGTCATGCCTTGGCGGGGTGTCCCCATGCCATGACCGTGGGAGAGTAGGGGTTGACCCACAGCCATCCCCACAGATGTCACTTTCACGCTCCCACGTCTGTGTGTAATGGTTTCCTTTTCCACCCGGCAGGACAGGAAGACTATGACAGGCTTCGCCCTCTGTCCTACTCTGATGCCAACGTTGTCCTCATATGCTTCGATGTCACCGACTCCAACAGCTTCGACAACATCCTAACAAAGGTAACACGACCCCGGGGGTGCTGCCTGTCCCCTGTCCCCATCCCTCGGTGACACGTGCCCATCCCTGGGTGACATGTCCCCTCACAGTGGTACCCGGAGGTGAACCACTTCTGCAAGGGGGTCCCGGTGCTGCTGGTGGGATGCAAGACGGACCTGCGGCAGGACCAGGAGGTGCTGCAGAAGCTGAAGGACGGACGGATAGAGCCCGTGTCCCGCCAGCAGGTGGGTATCACCTCCCGGTGGGTCGGAACGGGGCAGGGGTGCTCCCCAGCACGGGATAGTGCGACAGCAGGGTCCCAGAGGAGTCTGACTCTGCGTGTCCCCGCAGGGAGAGGCCATGGCCCGGCAGGTCCGCGCCGTGTCCTACATGGAATGCTCGGCCAGGTACCAGGATAACGTCGGGAACATCTTTGAGAAAGCCTGCAGTGCCGCCATCAGTGCCGCCCGCCGGAGGCAGCGCAAGACGAGACCCAGGAGGGTCTGCGTGTTCCTCTGAGCCCCCCGGCTCGGCACAGCCCCCCGGGGATCTCCTGCTGTCCTCAGGCTCCGACCGCACCGCGGCTGCTGCCGCACCTCTGCCTCCAACACCGGAATGCCGCTGCCACCCTCCCGACCCGGGGCTGGCACCGCTGGTCACCACGAGGTGACAGCAGGAAAGCATCCCTGGCACAAAGAAACTGTCACGCCTGGATCCCACAGTCCTGTCCCTGTCCCACCAGGAATCTCAGCATCCTGTCCCTGTTCCACCAGGAATCCCAGAACTGATTTGGGGGCTCCCCTTTCCGCTGGCAGGCCAGCGCCGGAGGGTGACACGGGGTCATCTTCTGCCATTAAAGTGACACAAAATTCGTCAGCGTGACACGATCCCTGGGGCAGGTGCAGCCCCTGCACGGCCTGGGAGCATCGGGGACGTGGAGTGGGTGTCGGGGACATGGGGTGGGTGTCGAGGACTCAGGGTCCCACCACGGGCCTGCGGTGGATGAGAGGCCACCAGGATGGGGTCACCTGCTGGGTTTGGCTTGAGGTGTGTGTGAGCATGTGTTCAGGTTGGTGCTGCACGTTCAGGTCTGTAGGGTTACCATTGATTACCACTTGTATAGTCATATATATGTTTTTATATACCTGATAATATATAATGTATATGTAACTAGATGGTAAATTTTGAACCATCCATATCACTTAATTTGTTACATATACCAGTACATATAGTTAGGTAATAACTATGTATATAGCTATATATAGTTTATAAAAGCGTTGTTCATATCTGTAGTATAGAACTAAGGAGCTGTATGTAGTTACGTAGGTGTATGCAGGTACGTGCCCGTGTCTCTGCATTCAGACCCGGCACAGGCGTGCACAGCCGTGCGCGCAGCCCTGAAGCCCGCGGGGACGTGGAGGGGCCTCACGGCGGGTCAGGAAGCCCCCAAAATCCCACCGGGGCTCTGCCTCTGCATTCCCCCCGCCGGGGGCGTGGCCATGCGGAGAAGGGGGCGTGGTCACTCGGGGGAGGCGTGGTTTGTGCGTGAGTGGGCGTGGCCGCCCCGAGCCGCGCGCGCGCGAGGCGGGGCCGGGCTGGGGAGTGTGCAGCGCACGCGCGGCGCGCGGGCGCGGGGAGGGGGGGGTGCCGTGCGTGCGGCGCGTGCGCGCGGCGTCGGTGTGTATGTGAGGCTCTGACGGGTTCAAAATGGCGGCGGCGGCTCCTGTGTGAGGAGGGGGAATCGCGTCCCGGCCGGGGGGCGGCGGCGCTGGGGGGGCACCGCGCAGGCGGGACGGGGCGAACGGCCCCGGGGGAGCCCCGGCACTCGGAGGCGGGGGGGGTGCGGTGGTGGTGGTGGAGGCGGCGGCGGTGGCGGGGGGACGCGGGCCGCGGCGGCGGGGGGCGGCCGGCGGGGCTGTCAGCGCCCGCTGCCCGCGCCGAGAGCGGCCGGGCCGGGGGCGCGACGGGTCCGGGGCGCGATCGCTGCTGACCGGGGGGTTCCTTCTCCTCTGTCTGTTCTGTTCCCCCCTGTGCCGGCGGTAGAAGAGGACAAAGGCGCAGGAGAGACCTGGTGAGCATTGCGGGGGTCACCGGCGACCCCCGAGTTTGAGCGCGGCCGGGCGGGAGCGGGCGCGGGCGGATCTCCCCTTGCCGGGCCCCGAGAGGCCGCGTCGGGAAGTTGGGGAGGGGGCGGCGGGTGCCGGGTGACAGCTCCCCGGGGACCCTCCCTCCCTCCCGCTTCCCGTCCTGCCCCGGCGGGGGCGGGCTGGGGTGGCCCGGCGGGCCGGGGGTGGCCCCTTCCCCCGCGGCAGGGCGGGCGCGCTGCACTCCGGTTGTCCGGTTGTTTATAAACAGAGTTCAGCAAGTGTGGGGAAACTGCCTCTCTCGGCCGGGCCGGGAGTCCTGGTGCCGTGGTTCCAAGGGAGGCAGGGGTGGGGAAGGTGCTGGTGGGACTGGGAATGTTCTGCTGTCGAAGCCGGGGGTTGGGGAGGAGAAGAATGGAGCAAGTTCTCCCTACGTGGTCGTAGCGGTTCGGTAACACTACAGGAGGTGGCGGATCCCCTTCCCCGATCCCATTCCCCGATTCTCCTCCCCCTTAGCCATAGTCATGGGGATTAAGAGCCGTGCCATACCCAGGCTTTGGTTGGTTTCTGTCCCTTTAAAAAAAAAAAGTGTAGGTGCCATCTGACGCCCTGGGAGGTTTTCCCAGGTTGGTGTGTGGTGTCACAAGGTGGCACATTAGGAGAGCTCAGCATTTAGGTCTCCTCCAGCCAGGAGTTATATCCCTAACTGCTTCCTTGCTTGGGTGCTGTATGTAGGGGAGATCCCATATGCCTTCCCTGATCATGGGAGATGTCCTGTACCGGTGTAGTTTCTCCCAGGATAATCCCAAAGACAGTGATTGTGTTGTTTGGAAGAGTTGGCTCTCCAGTGTTTAATTTTGGGGAAGCCAGGGTTTGACAGCACCTTCCCTGTTTTTTATCCCACTGTGGGCCAGTGGAGCTGCTGGTGGTAGTATGGAGCCAAGGTGGGAGACCTGCAGCTCCTATTGTGTTACAGAAGAGCTGGTGAAGTCATTTATCCTGCCATTTATTCTAAGTTATAATAGGAGTCATAAAAGTTGGGGTGGGCTCATCCACTGGGTTCTGTCAGCCACCAGAGCGGGGTGGAGTTGGTCCTAAAAGAAGGGAGAATGGAGGTGAAGGGTGTGCCCTTCTTCACTGTTACCCTCTGGCTTCCAAGGAGGAAGAGGACGACGACAGCAGTCCTGGCGTGTCCTTCTCGCTCTCTTCCGAGGAGTCGGAGATGGAGCCCGAGGAAGAACGGATCCGTTACAGCCAAAGACTGGTCAGTAGCGGCCTTGGAACAATCCTATTCCAGTCTTGGTTCTGTTGCAGCTGGAGAAGGGAAGGGCTTTTCCTGGCAGCAGGGTTAAACAACCCAAACAGGCTGGTGGTGGATGGATGCAGCCTGTGCAGAGGTGTGGGCTTGGCTTGCGTGGCTTTGTGGGTCCTTTTGTATCACCAAGTTTGTCCTAATGAAGGGAATTTGACTGCTGAGCTCTGGAAAGGGGGATTGGAGGTTGAGGCTGGGGAAGGAGCTTTGGGATAGGAACATGAAACTGGTGTCGGTGTAGTTTCTGTCACAACAGGTTTTTTCTGTGTCTGTGACAAGCAGAGGACCTGAAACACTGTGTGTTAGCATTCTTGATCTGAGTGGCTGTGGAATCTGAGGGAACCAGCTCCAGCTTCAAACTCCAGTTTTCCTGTGCCTGTGTCTCTTCTCAGTGTTTTCTTTTGAATAAGCTGTTCCAGCATTCAGGTCCCAGTCAGGTCCTGTCAGGAGCTCAGGTGTTTGTGCTGCTGTTTGGTGGGAATGCATGAATCTGGGAACTGGGCTGTAACTGGGAATAGCTTGGGAGCAGGTGCTCTTAGAATCTGAGGTGATATTCCCAGAGATCTTGGGGAAGAAGGGAAGCTGCTGTCTCCCACGCTGTTTTGAGGTAGTTGCAAACCCCCGGAGGGGGGCAGGTGGAGTCACTGAGTCACAGCAGTACCTGTACCCTCACCTTCAAGGTGCTGCCCATAAAGATAAATCCTTATCCTTTAATTCTCTGGAATCATTTGGTGTGAGGCTGTGTGGTTCTTGGCATTAAGCTTTGTCCTCAAGATGAGCAGTTCTAGGTGCTGGGGAGTTCCCAGTTCCTTCGGTGGATGTTTTAATTTGGCATCAGCAGCAGTCCCACCTCCTCCCTCATCCTGACACATTTATTTGCACAGCTGTGCAGGATGCAGCTCAAGGTGCTGGTTTGACTGAGGAGTGATCCAGGACTAACCCAAAATATCTGGATAAAGATATGGCAGGTGAAGGGGACTATCAGCCAGGAACTTGTCAGTTTAAAAGTGCTAATCATCTCTCAAATAAAAATCAGGAGGAGTTGGTGTCCTGGTGCAGGTGGGCTGGGCTCCAGCAGAATGTGCTAAGCTGGATAAATGCTTGCAGGCTGATGAGCTCCGTGCTTAAGGGGTTTGGGAAGGCACATGGGCAGCAGGGTGAGGCTCACCTGGACTTGTGTGGCCTCCTGTGCGTGTGTTGTCTGTGCTGGCCTGAGGCCCAGAGGAGGAGGCATGACCCCTGTGTGATGGGTCAGGCTTAATTCCTACCAGCCATGCTTTTCCTGGAAACTTCCAGCTCATTATGTGCTCCTGCTGTGTCAGTGACGCTCTCTTGCTGAAGGACCCTTAAAATATGATTATTTTTCTTCTGTCGAGCACAATTTGACTTACTTGAATATCCCACATATGCCTTGGACTTGGGAGCTGGGTTAGTAGGCCTAAATGAAAAGTTCTAAGTAGGGAAGCAGTGAGCTGGTAGTACAGTGTGTTTCTGCTGCTGTCAGCTGTGTTTCTGGTGTGTGACTGGGGCTCAACTAGCAAAAAATAAATGTATTTAAGAAAAAAACAATTCAGGTGTGATAGTAGTCCTACCAGCCAAACAACCTGGATCAGAATAGTTTATGGTGGTGAAGGAGCTGAATTAATTGTGTGGTTTGATGGTACCATGTGAGATGGCAGGGGAAGTTTGTTCTCTGGTGTGTCAGGTAATCACACCGACAGCATCTTTTTCCTGACTAGTTTCCATCAGGACATAGAGAAAATCTTGAGTGTTCTGTGTTATTTTATTTAGTTTGCCTTAATGTTGCCTTCTTCTGCTTCAACAAAAATCCTATACGTGTCTGTTTTCTGAATGAACTTATCAGTATTGGTGAAAGATCTGGGTTTGGTGAAGAAATTCACCCCTACTTCAGGTGTAGTCATATTCCTGCAGGAATTCTCTGCCAGGTCACACATTGTGTGGCACAGTGACACTTTAATTAGGTGGATTGCCCTGCCCTAACTGTACTTGCTTCCTAGTTCAGGCTCTGCATCCATGACTCCCAGGATAACACAGACCTGGGTGAGTTGCTCTGGACTCAGGGATGTCACTGGGAGGATCCAAGACCATCTGTGGGATGAGCTGTGTCCTGGTGAGCTCTGGGAGGCTCACGCAGGCACTGGGTGATACTGAGTGTGGAGAGGACACAGAGGAGCAAGTTATGGGATATCCATGTTCCTCACCCGTAGACTGGGAGCAGTGGAGATGGGGCTTGCAGGCACTGTGGAGCAGTTTCCTGCTAATTCTGTGTGAGTGTTGTTC